GCTGGATACCCAACACCAAATAGATATCTCGGCCCATACAGACGGGAGCGTTACCATTTGCCTGATTTTCGAAGGACATCTGGGTTTGAAAATGACAATGAGGTCTTTAATTATTTCCATTCAAGTTTAAGGAGTACAATTGAAAGAACTTTCAGAGTTTGGAAAAAAAAGTTCGCAATCTTACAAAACATGCCATCCTATGATTATGAAACACAAGTTAAAATCGTTTGTGCAACGATGGCTATACATAATTTTATTAGAACGACATCTATTACTGATCCTGGATTCGTTCAGTTGGAAAAAGAAGGTACTTATGCAGAAGAAGATGATGATGGGGTTGGATTTTCACGTATACATTCATCAATTCAATCTTCATCTTACATGGCTCAGGTTCGTGACAGCATAAGAGACGAACTTGTTAATTCAATACAAGAATAGTAATCATGTCTTATTTATTTCCTTTTATCATAAATTGTAATATGTAGTTAAAAACAAAACCTATTATAAATGCTTTGTATTGATGCATCATCTTAATTATTATGAAACTTGTTTATTTATATTTCTTTTATTAATATTATACCTTATATTCTCAAGCTAATTATTACTTACTTTAATAATTAATAAATTTTTTTAAGACGTGTTTATTCTATTTTATCAAACAATATCATCCCATTTTATGTTTATAATCTTCATGAAAAAGATTTTCTGTTTGCAACAAAATAATTCATCTTCTCTAAAAATATTTTTACTCTTATATTTTATGAATATATATGTGGTGACAATTAATTAATTAATTGTATTAAACATCAGGGGTTATTATACATGTAAGTATGTTATTACAAAAAGTAGTTGTGAAAAAATGTTATGGGATTTCATGTTTAAGATCTTTAAAGAAAATTAATATTTTTCTATTAGCAAAAAAAAATTCATTTTTCTATAAACATATTTAATATTATGTTTTATAAATATATATACACATATTAATTATGTATTAATTATATTATCTTATATATTATTAATTATGTTAGTAAAAAAATTTCATTAACAATTTTATTTCTTCAAATCAAAATATATCATAAAATCTATCCCTTATATAATTATCATATTAACTTATAGCCTTTTTGGTAATTTTCACATGTAAAAAGTACTTCTGGTAATAACTATCCAAACACTCTCACTTCTCATAATTACTTTTTCTCAGAATCTATTCTCCAGAATCACTTTTCTAAACCACGATTTGGTTTCATCCAAACACACCCTGAGACTTCCTATCTTCCCCGAATTTGGTGTGCACATTAGAAAAAAAATCAGAAGTAAAGCAAATAATTGACTAATAACTAAAGATATAGAATAAATAAATTTTTTTTATAATCTCTTCAAATCATTTGATTTTGTTATATAAAATAATTATATTTTATAATAGCTAATTTTGATTTAGATAATATAATCTAAAAATATGGATTGGAGTGAAATCCAACCTGAAAAATATAAATGTTACACTTTGAAAGATATAAAATTTTTAATATAAATACTAATATAGATATATAAAAATTATTTTATCATATTAATAATTGACATTACTATAATAATTGAAACGATACTTTGTAAGGCGTTCAACGGCTGTACAGCGACATGTTGAGTCTCACTAAAAGCCTCTTTCAAGAGCAACAATATAGGTCACCACTGAAAGCTCTTTTTGGCAGCAATATTAGGTCACTACCGAAAGGACCTTTCAACGCTACATGGTTAGTCATTGTTGAAAGTATACTTTGAGCAGTGATATTAAAAGTCGCTACTGAAAGTCTCACTTTCAAAAATTGATATTTAGCGGCAACTCTGAAAATTCACACTTTTAGTGGTGACTCTTAATGTCGACCCTGAAAGTCATACTTTCAGTGAAGATCATTTGTGTCATTGCTGAAAGTCGTTAAAAGTCTCTCTTTTTTGTAGTGTTAGTAATTGCATGTACAATTTGACATTTTTTAAATATAAACTCATGTACAATGCAAGTTGATTAAACCTTCTTTTGTTCAATGTCAAGCATACTAGCAAGGTCCCAAAGAAAAAACAACAAAATACATGTAAAACAAGGTTTGGATCCATGCATACAAGAGTATGCAAATGTGTTATCAACATCTACGCTTTTCTAAGAGATTGAATTTTATTGATCATTCACTTTGTCAGTCTGATTACAAATCAAAAATGAATCTTCAAATTCATTAAAACGTGGAGGAGCCCAAACTCGTAAAGGTAACGTTCTTTTTGGGTCACCATAATGTGTTCTGGTATGACTGTTATTTGATACGGAGAACCTAGCTATCCGTGGTTTTTATTGGTGTAAAGGTAACATATTCTAATTCAATTTATATATTGTGAAGGTAAAACTATGGTTGATCTAGAGCTAACTTGGGGTCCGCATTTGGTGCTCATCACTTGATGAGCAATGTAGATCTGGACGGTTCAAATTTAAATAGAAAAAATTATTTTTTTAAAACATGATAGTTGAGAGATTATTTTTATTTTTTATCCTATACCTATTAAAATAATTATTTTTAAAAAATAAAAATAAAATTAAAATTAAATGTAGACCGTCCAGATCATTTCTGAAGTGTCCAAATCCGATGAGCACCGAGTGCTCATCAGTTTTAACAAGCTCCCAATGCAAATCCGCTAACTTGATCTTCTCATGCAGGTTGCTTTCGTTCCAGAGCCTTTGTTAAAACATCTGCCTGTTCAGCTGAATCGACGTGTTCCAACACAATCAGACCCTATCGCCCTTTTCCCTTAAAAAATGGCAACTGATTTATATATGGTTTATCATATTCTCTCGTGCAACATAGCTAAATTGAGAAAATTAGAAAAATTAATTAAGTTAGTTATTATTAACAAATGTTTGGTGACTTCTCTGTACTATTCTACTTAATTACATTAAAACTAATTCTTAGAGGAAACACCTTACAACTAATAAAGATATTTTTGAGAAAAAAATTATAAATTTCAGAAACAAAGTAGATTGAAATCTTATATTTAAAATTAGATTTAATTCTTAACCAACTCTTATATTAAGGATTGGAGATAGCATAAGATTTTAATTTTATGGAGCACATTAATATGAACTTGAAGATAATATTATTCCATATATATTTGTGTATGGAACTTACCGAAGTCCAAGTTGATAGACCCAACAAAAATAAAAAATTAATTAATAACAAAATCTATCCTATGCAGGTAAAATAGCTGGTAGGTCAAAAAAGTTAGTAAATTATATTGTCGATAAGGTTAATACAAACCTGGAAGTTGTGAATGAATCCCATGACAATTGAATGAACTCACCATATGTATGTGTGCGCCAAAAAAAAAATGCAGAACTTGTTTTTGGCCAAAAAGCACAGTGCATTTTATTAATTCTGCACCAAACAAAAATATTAATATAACCACCACCAATAGCCAAGGCCAATAAAGGGGGGAAAAACACACAACCTCACCATCCTACACAGTGCAATCAAAGTAGGAAGAAAACTACTCATATAAACTTATATACGATCAGTTCTAAAATTCCCAAGCAAACAAACTGTATTAGAACAGCAGAAGCATAACACATATCAGAAAAACATACAGCAACGTTTCAGAACACTACAAAAAAATTGACTTTCAGCGGCGACAAAAGTCGCCGCCGAAAGTTTTTTGCGGCGACAAGTCGCCGCTGAAAAGTCGTTGCCGTAGCAGCCGTGGCTGAAAACTTTCAGTGGCGACTAAAAAGGTCTCCGTTAAAAGATACTTTCAGCGGCGACTTTTAGAAGTTTCAGCAGCGATAAATGTCGCCGCCGAAAACACTTTCGGCGGCGACATTTGTCGCCGCAGAAAAGCCTTTCGGCGGCGACAAAAAAGTCGCCGCAGAAAACACTTTCGGCGGCAACACTTTTGTCGCCGCCGAAAGTGTTTTCTGCGGCGACTTTTTTGTCGCTGCTGAAAGTAATGCCTAAGAAGAATTGGCTTTACCAATGCCACGTCATCACCGCCGGTGCCACATCATCGTCTCCGGCCGCCACGTCAGCACCGTCGACCTCCACGTCATCGCCATCGGCGGCCACGTCATCACCGCCGACCGCCACATCATCACTAGCCACCTCCACGTCATTGCCACGTCACTCCTCCTCGCCACGTCATCGTCTAAATATTTTCACCTTAAATGTGTCTTCTTCCAGGTTCGAACTCGTGACCGCCTCCCTTCGTGTCCAACCTTCTTGCCGCTGAGCCAGATTGAATTTGTTTATTACTATTGTAAAATAAAATATATATTATTATATTATACTTTCAGCGGCGACAAAAAAAGTCGCCGCTGAAGGTCCACTTTCGGCGGCGACAAAAAAAGTCGCCGCTGAAGGTCCATTTTCGGCAATTTGTTTATTAATATTGTAAAATAAAATATATATTATTATATTATACTTCAGCGGCGACAAAAAAAGTCGCCGCTGAAAGTCCACTTTTGGCGGCGACAAAAAAAGTCGCCGCTGAAGGTCCATTTTCAGCAATTTGTTTATTAATATTGTAAAATAAAATATATATTATTATATTATACTTTCAGCGGCGACAAAAAAAGTCGCCGCTGAAAGTCCATTTTCGGCAATTTGTTTATTAATATTGTAAAATAAAATATATATTATTATATTATACTTTCAGCGGCGACAAAAAAAGTCGCCGCTGAAAGTCTTGGTTTCAGCGGTGACTTTTTTTGTCGCCGCCGAAAGTCGTTGCCTAAAGTCTATTTTTTTGTAGTGGAACAAAATTTCATTAAATTAAAACTTCAACTAAATCAAACTTTAGCCGATGCCACTTCTATTTTCATCTCTACTAGCTGACGACACATGTATCACTCCCTTCATCCTGGATAAAAATTGTCGTTATGTTTACAAACTAACAATAACCACAAGAGTATTATAAACACACACAACAAATATAATAATTAAGAGTTGGTAGCCATTCATACATGAGCTTTTGACCTATTTCTCTATGGTTTGAATGAAAGTGAGCAAGAGCAGCAAAGTTGCAGCAATCACAGATGCAATTTTCCAAGGAGTGCTCCAATATTCACGCACAAAGATTGCATTATACTTGTGATAGGGGTTATCACAAAACTTGTCTATTTCTTCATATAGAGAGATATAATCAGTGTTGGTGTTTGTTACCATAACATTCTTGCAGAGCTTATTCACCATGGAAGCAACTTCATTACTGTCACCCAACAAGTTCATCACAATCTTCTTTTCAACAAGAATTTCAACATCTTTTTCAGTGTCAATAAGATCATCCAAGAGGCATACGTAATCAGTTATATAACCAGATAAAGGATGGCGACACTGCTCAAATGCAACCACATTTCTGAGCATAGTCTCAGTCCAATCACTTACCATAATTCCTGGTATGTTCAACATTTTTCCCTCTGAATATTGCATCCTAGTGACACTACTTTCTTGATCAGCTTCAAGTTTCATCCCTGCCTCGTGTAGTTGACTTACACTGCGTGAACGCTTCATTGGTGTGTGAGGTTCTCTTCGTGTTGGATCACTTGGTAAGTAAAAGGTCCTTAACAAATCGCAAAGGTGTTGGACTTTATGAATACTATCAAGATTGAAGCTAATCATGAATACTACCAATTTTGGCGCTAAGGTGGCACCATATGGCGCAAACTTGGCACCGCGTTTATAGCGATTAGTTAGTAGCATTTCTTTGGATTAAATTGCTACAAAGTTGATGTCATCTTCGTAGGAGTTATTTGCTGAAAACCACCATAGAAGTTAAATCATCCATAAATGGTTCTAAGTAAACCGCTATAATTGTGGAGCTTTCTGTGTAATTTTATAGCGATTGTTCTCTAAACCACAACAAAGTTTTGTGTCATTCGATGTATATTAGCATTCCTTACTATTTGAAACTAGTTGATATCATCGAATTAAATTACCAAGGACTTTTCACTAGCACTCTCTTCGAGTATTGCTGGGCAAATATAACAACTTCACAGGGACTCATTACTGAGAAATTAGGCATCACGACTGTGAAATTTCTCCAGGCTCATTCATATGGATAAATCTGAAGAACATGGGCCATGCATTCTTGCCTCTAAGACACATCAAGTTTATTATATCAAGAACGAGAAACATAAAAACTGGAATATGGTGCTCTACCTGAAGCCGCAAGATTTTTATGACATGGGTGACGATAGTGATGACTTCACTTACAATAGTGAAGCCTTCCAACTGACGAATTTCAAAAACTTCTTTTTTGAAAGAGATGATAATTTAGCAATTGTTAAGTACGTCTTTTTTTCATTTTTGTTAAATTAATTACCAGCTATATATTTTTATTTCAGATATGTCACTACAAAAAATCAGCTGATTAGCGACAGAATTTGCGACGGAAACAAATTCCGTGGCTAATTACCGACGGAATTTGCGACAGAAACAAATTCCGTTGCTAATTTCTGACGAAATTGTGACGAAAATTCCATCGCTAATTTTTTTGACGGATTAGCGACAAAATTTTTCTGTCGCTAAAATTAGCGACAGATTAGCGACGGAATTTCTGTTCGTCGCTAAATTCCGTCGCTAATCCGTCAGAAAATCCGTCAGTAAATATTTAGCGACGGAAATTTCTGTCACTAAATTGTTTGTCACAGAAGTTTTTGTCACTAATTACGTCGCTAATTCTATTCTGTCACAATTTCATCGCTAATCCATCACTAATTTTAAATTTCATTATTTTAAATTATAATCTTACAAAAATTATATTATAACAATTAAGAATATAATGATTTAAAAACATTTTTAATTATAAAATAAATTGATATACTTATGGAGTTGGTGTTAATGAAGATATCGTCATCATTCATGTCATCATTATGTATATATATACTGAAAATAGAAAGATAATTTCTTAGAAAACTTATTTATATTTTGTTAAAATAAATTCCTCTTGATTATTAATAATAATTAAAAAATACAATAAGATTATTAATAACTTTTTTATACAAAATGATATAAGAAAGAAATAATTTTATCATATGTAAAATATATTGAAATATATAATATGTGATAGAAATTCAAACGATTTAATAAATTTATATGAATGCAAATTAATATTGAAGTGAATTTTGAATTTCAATCATTAAACAATAAAATTTAATCACGATATAATTAATACCCATGATAGATTGATTTTGGTCTTAATACAAAAACAAATGGTATATATAAAAAATTTTAAGAAAATAAATTACATAGGATATATATACAAGCAGGAAAATACTGTTTATCATAATCTATTCAAATTATTTAATTTTTTATATAGAATAATTTATTAGATTTTATTATAGTAGTTATTTTTTGAATAACAAGATTTTTTGACTAATTATAAATGATTTTCTTCAAATATATAAAACAAATATAGATAATATAATATAATGTAATATAATACATATATCATTAAATTGTATATCTTATCAATATTAATTAAAAAATAAATTTAAAAAATTTATAAAAAAATATTTATAAAAAATTATTTATGATTTAAAATCCAAGATTAGTGCGGTTAGAAATTAAAATTATATTAAAAATATTTTTTAAGAATAAAAAATTATTTAAAAATTATTTAAAAATTATTTTTTCATTAAAATAGTTATGATTAAAATTATCATATAGTATATTTTTAGTTTTTAATAATATATATAATTGTTTGTGTAAAATAATATTATATATATTTAATTTTATATAATAAGTGAACAAGTTCATTACAGCTCAATTGGTAAAGCTGCACGCGCGCACAGAGGAGGTCCTAGGTTCGAGCCATGGAGAAGTCACTTTGAAGAGGAAATTATGTAGTGGCGACACGTGACAGGCAAAGGTGACATGTGATGTGGCAGCAGAGATGAGATGGCAGCACACGTGGCAGGCATAGGTGAGGTGGCAGCATACGTGGCAGGTAGAGGTGAGGTGGCAGAGACACATGGAGGTGGTCCCCAGTGATGATGTGGCAATTGGTAAAGGTGCCACGTGGCATTTTATTTTATTTTTAAAAAAATCGGGTTAGCGACAGAAACTTCCGTCGTAAATTTTGCAACGGAAATTTCGGTCAAGAATTAGCGACGGATTAGCAACGGGAAATTTCCGTCGGGAATTTCAATTCCGTCGCTAATCAATTTGCGACAAAGGAATTAGTCCGTCGCTAAATTTCGTCGCTAAAAGCATGTTTTTTTGTAGTGTGTGATATAGTTATTTCTAATTATTTGTCTTGATATCTTCTTTCAGGCAAGTGATGATAAATAAAATTTTCAGCAATTCATATCAAGCACATAATTTTTTTTAGAATAAGTCACTAAAATCAATTAATTTAAAAAAAAACTTTGCCACAGTTTGTAGCGGTTCTTGCAACCGTTACAAAGTGAAAAAACTGCTACAAAGCACATAATAATTGCTACAAGTTGCACCCGCCTTCTATAAATACCCCTATCCCCACTCCCATTTTCACTTCCACATCTCTTCCTCTCCTCTCTTCTTCTTCTATTCCTCACCACCAACCTACCTGTAAGTTTTCTCTTTTCTTATTCATTTAATTTTATTTTGTTACAGTATTAATTTGATTTTGCTTTTTTCTTTTTTTGCATTCACGTTTTCTTTTATTCTTACTGAAGGTCTTCAATTTTTTTACCCCTTCTAATTCATCTCTTTCACCTTTATATATAATATCCTAATATCTATTTCACAAAATTTATTAAAACTTCACTTCATAATTATACAAACCATATTTAATTAATTAAGTTTCATATTATACATTTAATTAAATATTAATTAAGTAAGTATGTTTTTTTAAGATAAATTGAAAATTTTTAGTGGTTCTAAAACCGCTATAGACTACACAGATGATTTCATTTTTTTTAAATTTTTAATTGATAGTAGTTTTCGAACCACTGCAAATTTCAGATGGTGTCATTTTTTTTAAAATTTCAATTTTGTAGTGATTCTTAAACTGCTATAAATTATGATGCCATCAACAAATTTTAGACTCCTGCCAAACAAAGATTTAGCGCCACTCATTAGTAGCAGTTTTGAAAATTGCTGCTAATATTCAAATTTCATTTCCCTCCTTGCTTTTCTTACTTTTGCATTTTGTAGTGGTTCTGTAACCGCAGAAAATGATGTCATCATTCCACACTTTTTATTTGGTAGCTGTTTGTAAACTGCTACTAACGTTCTTAAAGTGATCTCACCTCATATCATTGTTAGTAGTGGCTGCAAATGCCGCAATAAGCTATTGTAGCTATTGTAGCGGTTTGACTTCTTACGTAGCAGTTTACTATAACCACTACAAAATCGTTTGCTTTTGTGGTTTTATGGTTTTTGTAGAGATTTTTATAATTGCTACAAATGTTATTTGTAGAGGTTTTAACTGATACAAATCATACAAGATAATCGTGACAAATTGCTACTCTTTTTGTAGTGTCTATTGTCACAAAAATAATCAACACATTCAAATCCTTTAATAATATTCATTGGCAGTGAAGAAACCAAAAAACAAATGAGAGGATTGTCCAGCTAATGCATCTTGTAGAAGACCCTGCAGTGGCAAATAGGGATCTTAGGATGAAAAAAATGTTGTACAATGTGTGTGGGGACTATTTGTTGAGTGGTCATATTGGTTATCTTTATGGTCGCTGTATTTTTACACCGTTTTCTTATTCATTGACGTGTTTGTTAAAAGTCAATATTAATCGACTTAGATGTCATAAAATTTTTGCACCATTCTGAAAATTTTATGTGTATTTTTAATTGCAACCAAAAAAAAGTTTATGGTGTTAAATCCCCATAATAAAATACTTCATGGTTAAATTTGTATTTCAACACTATTTATAATGTGTGTGTGTGTGTGTATATAAACCCACATTGTCCTCGCAATCAAGGTTCATGGCTTGCTTTATGTTTTTTAATCACTTTGATCTTTCGAGTTTATTATAGGCATGGCTTTTCTTTTGAGTATGTGCTTTTGATTTATCCACTTAGATACAGAAAAGTTATTTCGCAACATTCATATATACGATATATATAACCCCTTACGTCACCAAAAAAAAAAAAAACGTACAAACATATACATACATATAATATAATATATATTATAAGAAATATATATAAGTTAATTTAAATTTGGCTTATTATTTATGAAAAATGACAATAAAATACCTTCTGAATTTCAAAATGACAAAGAAGGCATCAGGTACTAATCTGAAATTTTGATTTTGAATTTTACAAAACATATAGTGGGATTTACAGCTTTCATAGTGAGAGTTATTACTTCGTCAATAGGTGTTGTAATCTGTTTTGAAGGGTTGAGCAAGTTTTCTGTAAAAAAAAAAAATATAATTTCACGCCGAATTTTACAAACACATAGTGGGATTTACAACTTTCATAGTGAAATTTCCTACTTGGTCAATGGGTTTTGCAATCTCTTTTAAGAGGTTGGGTAACTTTTCTATAAAAAGAAAAAAAAATTC